ACGCGCAGCTTCTTGATCCAGGCGGCAAATTCGGGGTCGGTGAACTCGGGGTCCTTGCCGGCTTGGTGCTCAGCCTGTCGCTTGCCCCCGTCGCTGGCCACAAACGGCTCCAGGTGATTAAGGTGAGGCCTGATCTCGGTCGCGCCGGTGACGTAGCATATCTTGGCCAGGGCAATGATGCCCTCGATGGTGTGCTCGCGGTCAAAGTCAGATGTGTCGTACTGGACGCGTGGCGTGCCCTTTCGAGGGTCAGAGTATACGCGGCCGGTGTCGCGGTCCCGGGTTAGTACGATGAAGGTACCGATGTGCCGATACTTCAGTGCTAGTAATTTGGCGTCGATGCCGTCCCTCCATGTCTGTAAGGAGTATGTAGCGTATGGCTATAGGGTTAAACTGTCAGTATGGCTCTCTTGAATCTCCCCCCCCTTTTTCTCTCTCTCTTTCTTTCTCTTTTTCTGTTGCAGCTAAAAAGAGGGAAGTTGATTGTTTGCGAGAGCTTTTGACAGTTTCTCTCAAAACCAGTGGGAACCATTGACTTACAACGTTAACAACGGGTTCCAGCTTCACACCATGGCCCTTTCCGTCTAAATTCTCGAACTCGTCGACGTAAGATGTAATGATACCGCCTTCCCATGATGCCAGATCCTTGTTGCCAAAGATAGCGGAGACCAAGTTGACGGGATGTAGATGAAGGTGTTTTCCGACATTGGGGTTCTGGTGTTAATGATAAGAGCGTTAGCAGTTATTCAACGCCGCAAGAATTGGCCTCGGTTAAGAGATGTCCTGACGCATCCTACTATTCTCACTCACCTTGATACCGCTCTTGGTCAAAATAACCGGACTCCACATGGAACCACCAGAGATAATGACCTTCTTAGCCTTGATGACCACACGCCGCTGCGTTCGAGTGTTCTGTGGCGCATGTACGCCTCCATTCTCATCTCTAGCAGTCCATGTGCCTTCCACTCCAACAGCGGTGACGCCATCCTCTGCAAAAACAACTCTGTCCACAGCAAAACCTTCCATAAACTCAGCACCCGCGTCGCCGGCAGCCGGCAGCCAGGCCACCGAAGGACCTCTCTTCTCTGCTGAGCCACAACCAAGGTGACACTGGCCACAGTAGTGTTCCTTGCCGCCTGTATTTTGCTCAACAACTCCACCCTTCCAGCCAAGTTTCTGAGCTCCTTCTAGCAGAGCTTGGTTTCGCGGATTCTGGCGGATGGTATCCTTGCTGGCCCCAATGAAGTCCCAGACGCGGTCCATGCTGTCGTCAAAGTCGCTAGATGTGAATAGAGGCAGTCCGGCAGCAGCCCACTCCTCACGCACGTAGTCTTGTAGTCGGAAGCAGACGCTCCAGTTCACCGTGCCGCCGCCGCCCCAGCAGCCACCGCACGCGATTCCCATGCTTGACGAGTCCGAAAAGAAAACACCACCGGCGTCGTACAGATGATGAGAGCCGGACGCTTGTGTCATGGGAAGCTGGGACGGTGGGAAGTGGTAGCCCTTGTCAACAACAAGGACTTTATGGCCAGCCTCGGCGATGTTCTTTGCAGAGACAGCTCCTCCACACCCAGATCCGACAATGACGACGTCGGTGGTGATTTCGTGCACGCCGGTACCTGCAGGCGCCTGAACGAAGTTGTAGTCATATCCCTCAACAGGTTTCCAGTCCTTGGGAACGTCCGAGTAGCCAGAAATCTCCCTGAAGTAAGGGCTGTGGATGGCGTTTGCTTTCTGAGCCATTTGCGCAAGAGCCTTTGCCAGCACGCGCAAGGGAGTGAGGCGGGACGTGGCCCATGACTTGAGAATGGCTTCTCGAACCTTTGTTGGCTGCTGAGTGATTGGAGTCCAGTAACCGGTCAGAAGCATGCTCCCTGCATGACCACTATTGCGAGAGCAGATGGTCAGCAAGACTGCAGTTTGTTCACGGTTTGTATGTGATACAAGGGGGGTTTGTTTATCCGTATTCACCAGTCGACCTCGTTCGCCACATACAGGAAAGGCAAGATTGAAGAGGCTACTACGCTGCTTGTGAAAGTTGCTTCCACTTCCACTCCCACTTACCCGAGGAGATTCAAGATCTTGATCAGCTGGTTCCTCTGGGGAACGATGGCGAGAGATCGCAGGCAATCGTCACGGAAGTTTTCATCTTGAGAGGGGCGAAATTCGAGATACTCCTTGATCTTGAGTCTCGAAGGAGGATTCGAGAGGGCGGCAGTGCAGTCGTCGATGAGAGCTTCGAATTCAGTATCGGACAGTAGAATGCCAGAGTTTTTGTCTTTGACATCAGAAGAGGTAGTTGAGGTGATGCAAGGTAATACACCGTCTAGAAGAGCGTAGAGGGTTTCCCATTGAGCGTCCGTCATGAAGTCCTTGGCCGGGGCATCGGGCAAGGGGGTGGGTGTGGGAGCCCCAATGTCAATTGCGTCCATGGCGTGGGTTTGAAGGCCAAAGAACAAGAGGAAGCTGGAGGGAGTTGGATCGGAAACAGGGTCAGCGGCATGACGGGAACTTTAAAAAGGATGGAGGTGGCTGACACAAATTAACTACCTAGCTCAAGGTACGGGAGGATGGAGTACGGAGACGGGAGCAGGTGGACTTTGACCTCAGGAAGCCTGTCGCCAGTAGTGGGGCCAGCCATCAAGCCTGAAGATTAATGTTTCGAAAGTACTGACAGCATGAGGCCACAACCACAAAAGACGGAGACGTGCAACGAGGAAAAAGAATAATGATAACTACGCGCCAGACAGTCGAGATCAAGCGACAATGGCATGTGAAAACACGCACAAGATGTGGAGGAACGTCACCCTCTCGGTCTCCATGGCCTCTCTTGCCTCTTTTTGCCTCTTTGGCCCCTTTTGGCTCGTCAACCAGCACCACTAGTCGACATGAACCTTGCCCCGCAAAAGCCTCGACAGACTAGATGGATATCCCCGACGTTCCAATTCCTGATCTGACGGGGCATCGATCCACCAGTCCCTCCGTGTGGCCACCCCACCATCTCCCCATCTCCATCTCCCATCTACCATCCTTCGGAGCACGGTTACGGAGCAACTCTGCAATCCGCCTGGCCCGATTTGTTGCATATCAGTGGTTCAACCAAGCTTCGACAACAAATTGGCGAGCAAGAATCCTACGCATCCAGCAGCCTGTCACCGGCGCGTTGCACGACAGCAGCCCACTTAGCCAAGCATACACATGTCCTGCTCGTCCGCCTCTGCCTGTACTACGTCAATATGCTAGAAATACCGAAGTCTCAGTGTGTCGGCATTTCATAGATATTCCCCATTGCCACGTGCCATTAATAGTTAATATACCCACCAACCCAACCACCCATGGATGGAGAGGGGGCCAAGGGGGCAGCCAGAGTGTTGGTAGGAAGACAGCTTCGAGTTCGAACCTACCAAAGAAAGGCTCGACACCCTCGTGAATTCACACGGAGCCACTCTGAGATGGAAATACGTACTACTACTGTAATAGGTGCCTGGGTACTCCGTACCTACCGAGTAACTACCTAGGTAGGTGTTTGTGCAGAAGCAGGTTCCGGTCTTCCCGCCGTAAAAGTACCAGATCTTATAAATCACTACCCCAGCACCGTTAGCCCGTCCTCCGCAGGAACTCCCAGCCAATGCGAAGCAATTGCAGAAACCCCAGACTGTCCCCTCTGGCCCCCTCGTCTCTCCCATCCCCCCTCATGTCGAATTATGTCGTTACTCGGTCCCATACTCATTCAAGGCAAGCGCCTGAGCCCTGTCCGATGCAGCCCGGCGGCCGTCCCCTGACCCCGGTACTACTATCCCCAAGCCCACGACGAAAAAAGACAGCACAGCACTGAGACCTTGACCCCACATTTGCCTCGGCAGCTTCCCTGAAAGAATCCACCGACATGCTAAGATCGCCGCAGATTTCTCCATCGCCAGGCATCACAAACACATTCCAATTTTTCATCTTACTTTCAAGCTCTGCCGTCTCAGAGCCATTGTTGCTCCGGCCGGCCGCTCGCCACCAGCCCATTCATGCAACTGATCCTGGCTAATCTTGTTGCCCCATGTCATCAGCCGCCACTGGCCAAACGACACATTCACTTTGCTTGGTTTGCCACGTTACAAAGAGACCAAACTTGCTCCATGGCATAAACATCCAAGATTTGTATGTGGTATTCTTCCGTCGCCTCTATGTAACCTAGCTCCAAGGCAATCAATATCGCCAACCAATAGACCATGCAGACGTACCCTCCCTGTGCATCATATGCCTCATGAGGTAGAAATCCAGTCAAGAGGAGACGGTCCATGTCCCCTCTGCCATCCCCGGGTACCACGCCTATTCCCAAGACTAACCAACGTATAACAAGAGATGAGGAATTAACGCCATGTTTAAATGTCTCTGTCCCCCAGGCTCCCATTGTGAAAAAAAACCAGAAAAATGTACACCTTCCATCTCCTCCTTCACTCGCAACGGTCTATGTCAAGACAGACCGTCAGTAATTATACAAACATGCAAACAAGACGAGGTCGAGAAAAGAAAAGGTGACAGCCTCCGAAGAGTCCATGGTAGTAAAGAACCAAAAGACAAAAAAGCGAGATGGAGAAAATCTTATGTACGCAGAAATCGAAGCAAACGTAGGATACCCCCGGATGCATGACCCTGCCATGGTCGTGGTATCCCGGCATATTAAGTCGCGCCTGGCCGTCAAATCCCGGCACCCATTTTTATCCCCAACCAAACAGATTAGAAGATGCCCGATCGGTAAAAAAAAATACAATCCGTGCAAGGCTGAGAGAAATGTCATGACATGCCAAGTGATCTGGTAGACTCTCTGAATGCACCGCTGGGCCAACAATTACAAAATATCCTCGCACCTTTTCCGTGCAATCATTGTTTCGCTAGCTTAGTCGTGGTAAGCTGTGCGTAGTCTCGTCATTGTATCGCCTACGCTGTTGTCCTCTGTTCGGCCACACGGGCCCGTTGTCAAAAATCTTCCGTCTCGACCCATACATTGATCAACTGGTTGTGTCCGAGGCGGGAAGGGGGGGGCTTGATGCCTTATTCCTCCTGAAAAAAGGAAAGTCCTTCATCCTAAACCGACTCGATTTCTTCCTCAGAGACTTCCCTTCAGCCTTGACGATGCTGCCACCATGGCTCAGTTCGTCATCACCTGCTCCTGTATCACGGAGGACCGTGCCTGGAGACCCATGACTCGAGGTACTTGGAGGCGATATATTCAAGCCGGTAGCACTCAGTGTCCGCTCTATAGACTCGTTGCTTACGATGCTAGTGCCCTGGGTGCTTGGAGAGAGTGCCATCTTCCCGGTCGTGGCAGTTGTGGCTTGCGAGTGCCAGTCTCCGGCAATGGCACCGGAAGCACTGCCTTCGGTGGTTTCACTGCATCGCTGTCTTCCGAACTGTGCTGAAGCTTTGCTCTCTGTAGTGCCACTATCGCCCTGTGACCGGCAGTTAAAAGGGTCACTCTCAGCTAGCTCTCGCACGGCGTCGAAGGCAGATGTAGTTCCGTTGAGATCCTGGCGCGGCGCCGCAGTACCACGCGGAGGAACTTGAGCAGCAACATCAGCCGGCTCCTCGGGTGCAATTGGCGCCTGCTGCTCGACTCTGGCGACGACGTCGGCTACAACCTGCGGAGCTTCTCCTTTCTCCTCTGCTGCCCCATCAGTCAAGTTTTTGACCTGCTCAATCTTGACATCAGGTTGGCCTTCTGGGATGTCACGCTCGCCTGTAACACTCCTAGTCCTAGGCGAAAAGGTACCCTCTCCAACGCCCCGTCTTAACCTCTGTTCATCAGGAGACTGCCTTGCCTTTTCCTGTTGCACCTTTTGCTCGAAAAGTCTCTTATTAACTTCGAGTTCATCCACTGTGTAACGCATGGCTGGCATAATGTCTGCAACCCCTTGAAACAATGGGATAGCAAACATATTCATAAACCCAAGCTGGGCGTTGGACAATGATAGTATGTCCTTCTTAGGCTGTGCCATGAGCGACGATTTGATATCCAGCTCATCCTCCATAGATGCTTGCCTTGAAAACTCTTCGGAGAGAATGTGCATCCACCTTAGGGCTGTGTCGTGATGTCGAGCCTGTGATGGAATGAGTCAGCCTTGTTGACATGAAAAAGTCGGCGCACAGTGGACTGACAGAAAGCTGAGAAACACTTAAAGGACAAGAATCACTTACCACATTGCTGATGTCGGCGCATTTGATAAGCAGGGAGCACGCGAGAGCCTTATGATCCTCAAGCTGACGGCCGTTCCAGCCGTCGGTGCTATTATTATCCTGCAATCTTTCCTGTACATCACCGAGCTTCTTCATATAGTCGAAGTGAAGTCCCATGTCCGTCGCAAGAATCGAGCTAATCATGAGACTACGCATCTTCCTGTCTTCAAAGGCTGATGGCCAATACCGGCGAAGAATTTGGGAGTATGCGGCACAATGGAATGACTCCAAAACCGACCTGTCATTATACAGTTGTGCAAGTGGTGCATTTAATGTCGCCAGAAAGCCATTGTTGACGCCAGGATGGCCTACATCGTGACCAATGGCAGTGATGAGCAGCGTGAGGGCTTCGAAGGGACTCAAGAGTGCCGCAATCGGTGACTTCTCTGCAGCAGTGCCTTGCTGGCGGCCCGCTGGATATGGTGCGAGGGCTCCGATATGCACAAGAAAATTGAAGGTGGCTTGCAGGACATCCACAACGTGTCGGAAGTTGTGGTATGGGACAAAGCTGTTGTAGGCGGCACGGCAGGCGACAAGATAGCTAATCAGTTGATCTGTCGTGCAAAGCAAATTAGCACATCAATTTCTCACCCAAATGCAGGTGAGTGCCAGAGAAGACTGCAACGTACCTGCCGGTATCCGCCATGGCTCTAATTCAGGGTCAGCCAAAGCATGCTTGAACATAACCAGTGCGGCAACTAATAATTCATCATCGGAGAAGGAATGAGCGCAGAAGTGCCACCGACCCACGGCGTCTGCGATTTCGACTTGACGGGTCGAAGATACCGCAATGTGGGCGCTGGCAAGCTGTCCATCGTTGCTGTCCAGGCGGCATATACCATTCATGAGTCCGGATACCATAGCCTCGCGCAGGTATGCAAATGGCTTTTGTTCATTAACCCCGACCCAGGACCGCTTTCGACCTTTGGCGACCTCCATCAACGCTTGCTGCTCCCTGGTGGCGTCCCTGTGTGCTTTGTAGGCACAGATTTCAAGAGTAGTGATGCACTTGGAGCTGAGAGGGCTCATCAGGACATCAACGGCACCAAGATCCAGGCACGTTCTCATCAACTGGCGATTAGCGGCCAGAGTTGCTGGCGGAATTTGCACTGCTTCCGAAGCACCGTCAGTCATTTGGTGGCCGCCGTTGGGCACGCTTGTTTCAGGGTGGCTGATAATGGCCACGGGAACGACAAGTTTCGACATGTTGCGGAGGTGAACTTCGGTAATAATCTTTTGCAGCAAACCCAACCCGTATAACTCTTCATTAGGCGTGTGAATTTCGGAAGCATGAGCCATCGGAGGAGGCGTGGGGGAGGATGACCTGGATCGAGCATGCTGGTCTTGTATTTGGTCATCGAATGGTGTATCCAAAAGCACCAACGTTGGAATTATGTTGGTCATTGAGCCGTCTTGGAGCTGAAACAGGGTCGACAAACAGGCCGCGCCTGTACCACAGACATGAACTAAAAGAAATGAATTAGCACACGTTCAGAGCCATATTGGATGGGAAAGGGTGTGAAGGGTGAGGAATTGAAGGGTATCCGGTTCATCCCCGGGAACTAGAGCAAGACTCACCGTCGCCAAAGGTGTCAAGCAGTGGCTGCACAAGCTCTTTAGCACCATCGCAATTCCACCTGGTTTGAGCGTTGTCGTTGGCTGCATTGTTGGTATCAGGCGCCGCGCGTAGCAATCTATCCTCGCCAACGACGCGATTAACATAGATGACATTGCATGAAAGGCGGTCCATTGCGGCAACGGGAGGCTACCAGTCTCGCGACTGGAGCACGTTGCCCACAAAAGCAGGATTGTGTCAAGCGACAAATGGCAGGCTATGAAGATGCGGAAATGCGGCTGGACGCGAATCACGACTTCGAACCGTCTCGAGAGGAGGCACGACGACTATTGGTGTAATTCGAACCAGCGGCTCCGAGTTGATGGCTAGCTGTCCACAGGGTGAGAGCGGGAACTAGGGACAAAGTGAATTGCGTCGTCGTCGGGCAACGGTGTCGACCATACAAGGCAGTGTTGATGGGTGTCGGGTGGTGCAGACGGACGGAGGCTGCACAAAAGTGAACTCGACGCTGGGCCGTGACGCAATGAAACTATCGCGGACGGTTGTGAGCTGGTTGGCTGCTGGAAAGCCGAGTCGAATTGGGTCGACTGGGAGAGTTGCTGCCAAGACCAGGCTCAGATTCGGATCCAATGCCTCTAAGAGAAGTCTCTGCAAGCAAAATTGCGCTCGGTGGCGAGGAAGTCGCGCGACAAGGTGGGTGGCTTGTGGCTACACGGCGGCGCAGGAAATCGACGGTCGGGTGTGATTGAAGAGAGAGAGAGAGCGAGGTGAAAAAAAAAAGAGCCGACGAAAGGAGCGAGGCGGCGGATCAACAGAATGGAAGTTGGAGGGAGAATGGAGAATGACGAATTGGACCGGGACGGGTGCGAGTGTGAAGAGAGAGGGAGAGAGTCGCAACTCTGCGTCGAGTGCCGACTTGTCGCACGTGGAGGGCGAGGGTGGTGTTGCGAGGCCACTGTGAGGGCCACACTGGAGGCATGGACAGCGAGGCGTGAAGAGGGCCAGAAGTCCAGAAGTCCAGACATGGAAGCCCAGAAGCCCGCAACTCGAAGTCTAGAAGGGCCAGCGAAGGACGACGGCGGTCTTTGAGTGGACGCGGAGGAGAGAGTGGGTTCTGGTGGACGGCGATGTGGGCAAAGCGACCAGTCGACCGTTTCGGGGGGAGGGGGCAGGGTCGAAGGCCAAGAAGGAATTCCAGAAACATGGAGCAGGCCCAACAATGGCGAATCGTAACAATATTCAAGGGCGCAGCGGAAGGGGGAGCGGGCCTGGACAAATCAATGGGATGGAGGAACGTGGAGGGTCTTGGGGTCTTGGGCCCCCCTCAGGCCCCGTCAAAGCCGCCCCATGCAAGCCATGGCGAGCACCCAAGCACCCAAGCACCTCAGCTGGCACCTTGGCTCCTGGCACTCAGCAGCCCTTGGAGCCGTTGATCCCGGCTGAAATGTTCAATGCTCGGTTAGATGTCATGTCAGGCTCGGGGCAGCACTCCTGCTGGCTGTCAGTTGTGAGTGCTCAACACTGGCAGGTGCAGCCGTCATCTTCAGCCGGGCCTCTCTTGCCCTAGGTAATACTACTTACCTACCTAAAGTAGGTAGGTGAGTTATTTAACCAAGGTGCTGGCAGTCGAGCCCAACAGAAACCTCCAGGGGTCCGACAAACCTTTTGATACTGGTGATGACCTTCTTTTGGGCTTTCTCCTCCTCCTCCTCCTCCTCCTCCTCCTCCTTCTTTTGTGTACTCACCATGTGCTCTATACCGAGTTCCAGGTCCTGTTTGCCCTGCTCTCTACCCTTTGTCGGACACACTCCCCGACGCATTGACATTTCATAAAGGCACCATGTCCTTCTACAATACGAAGTACATACAGAGTAGCTGTGCCATCGACGAGTAATCTGGCGCTCTGGCCAAAACCATCCAAGCCCGGCACAATGCAGCTTATACAATATTTGCTGGAGTGCAGACGGACGACAAGCGTCTGAAGAGAAACCGGTCAGCTGCCGCCCGCAGTGCGCCTCTAATTCCTAATTCATTCTTGGGCAAGAGGAAGGCACATCTCGGGTGCATGGCTCGAATGGAATGTTGCGGCGAGGCGTTGCTAGTTCGCTGCAGTGGCGACTGGTTTGGCAGAGACTGGCAGAGATTGGCATATGTCGAGTGGTTGCACCACAGGTTGCCGTGTCACCATCGGGAAGTGAGGGACACAGAGCTCGGCAGAGTAACTTCAATGTTGCTAAAAGGCAACATATCCCGGCGATTACAGTTGCTAATTGATAGCGTGCCCCCTGCAGGCCCTGAACCAAGCATTTCCACAAAGTACTAACTTTGCTTACATACCTAGGTACTTACCTAGGCAGGCAGTAATCGCAACTGAGCTTCGAGCAAAGGAACAGTTACTGTTGCTGTTGAAAGTCGTCGTCTATTTTCCAAGGTTGATACCATCCTAGCAGGTGCTGATGAGATGAATGTCAGATCAATACGGAGTAATATGCACCAGATCAACAACCCTTTATCCTCGGTCCTCTGTCTTTCGTGTCTGGGAATGCGCATCCTTGCAACAGCGCCCGAGCGTTTGACCTCCACCTTGATTGGATTCAGTGTTCCAAGTCCGATGGGCGACCAACGATACACTTCGGCCTTCGCAAATTCTATCTAATACAATACAACAAAAGGAACGGTTTTGGGCCAGCATGACCGGATGGTCTCCCCTCCTCCCACAAAAAAAAAAAACAAATGAATTTGAAAACAGCCGAGGTCCCGGAAGGCCATCATGGGATCCAAAAAAAACCTGGGTCGAATATGGGACTCGGAGGGGCCGTGATGGATACATGACGAGGTTGAGGCACCGCAATGCCAAACTATGTTCTGCTTCCTCTCATTAATATTAGAAACTTGGTCTCTCCCTGGCCCATAAAACCAAAGAATACGGAGCACATAAAACATCAACGGCCCCATCTACCAAACTACAGCCTCTGTCAGAATTGGCATCATGACCGGGTGTCGGCCGGTCGGAACGGAGCCCTAGGTAAGGGATCGGAAAGGCCAAGTTATTATGTACAGAGTAAGTACAATGGGTATGTTGCTGCTTCTCTCTCACCCTACGCCAGTTGATGATACGAGCACAACTTGCTCAGTTGTCACTAATCGTACTCGATAGCGCCATTTTCTCGAGTACCGAAAGTGCTTGATTCCTACCTAGGTACCTACCTAGGCATGTGGGTATCCATAGGCACTCGAAGTAGCAACAACGAACTACCACTTCGCCCAGGTCGCCGACGTAGTATGTACAATACTTGGTGTACGTACTCCGTACAGACCTACATACTGTCGACAAGGATTGCAGTAGGCAGCATGTGGACAGCAAGTGGGCAAGACGAACACACCATCGTCTCGGGGCAGTGAATCGGCTCAGCCGTTCCTACACGGCAGACCGGTGGCCGCGTGCGCACTACGGTTAATCTGGGAAGGCCAAAGGCAAAATTCGAACAAGGTAAAGGTGAGAGGAGAGGATGGACTTGAGTGACGAGCCAGTGGCATTTGCAGCAGTCAACAGGCGAAGATGTTAGTGTCCAGGACTCCGCACTCCATGTGCATTTGCCAGTCATTCATCCTATTTTTTTTCAATTCTACTCATACGCACTCCGTACTGCAGTCGGTATCTGGCATCCGCTGTCATGACAAAAGAGTCTGACTGAGCAGGAGCATTGGATGAATGAACCTCCATCACAGCCAGTGGCGTTGATGCGGCGGGCGCTATCGAGTCCAGGTGTGATGGCGTGCGGGAAGCGGATGGCAAAGGCATCCCCCAAGAGAACATCTGTGCAGTGGACGAATCCCTGAAGTTTGTGACCATGACGAGTCCAGGAAAGGACTGGCCGACCCTTGCCCATTATCCCAGCCTCGGGCTGCTTGTGGCTGCAACATTGAACATGTCGTCGTACAGCGAAACAAGGCGGGAGCACAATCTGATACAAACATACGGAGTACCAGCTTGAAGCTCAGTGAGGACGAAAACCGAAAGGCCCTTTGGACCGGAACCAAGGTTGAAGGCGGCACAACAGTTAGTTACATGGAATTTTCAAGCCGGTTCGGCGCAGGATGCGCCACACCTTGCGGTGAGCTTTTAGCTGTCATACTAGTGGCAAGACTGGCGACTCTCACCGTCCTCCCATGAAGCTGGATTCTACCCGTTCAGTCCACAATGTCTGCGCCATGCCATTCCGTAACGACACATGAGTGCATAACTTTGGGTGGTGCAAGTTGGCTGTCGCGCGAATCTGTCCGTCTGTGGCGGGCACTTTATGCCGTGGTTGATCTGCGTGCCAGATTATTAAAGTGGTTTCCTCGGGGCATTTCGTCAAGCCGCCTTCAAATTTACATGTATGTGCCTGCCGCCGATGTTGGGACCCCCCCACTCCTCAACTCAAAGCCCCTTGCTCTTTAAACGTTGGCATGCGGCTTCTTGGCAACCACAAGTTGAGTTGAGAAGAATTCTGGGTCGCTCGCGGGAATGGAATGCCTGGCCCACCATTCCGCTTCCGGACACCTTCTAGAATACCATCTCGAACGCTCCTGCAAAGAAAAACACGGCGGGCTGCCCCATCACCCATGATATCGGCCTCGCTCAATCACTACCTCGGATGCTGCTGAGCCAACCAAAACATGATGATCAAGCGCGGCTTTGTTTCCATGAGCTCACAGGGTGAGCCCAGCAAATGCGCCGGCAATGCACCAGCACACACACAACGACTGTCTCCCTCGGTATTCATTCCGTCCACATCTGTCGTCAACTGGTAAAAGTCCAAGTACTATTCTGCAGGAAGCCGCACACACTGATAAGACCAGTTGACTACATCCCATTCCGTGGTCTGCCTGGCAAAGTGGGAAAAAAAAAGCCACGCGCCATCGGCACGCACTAATCGCCGAGTTTTGCTGGCCGCTTAGTCATCCTAGTAATACGGAGTATTCTATTATGTTTTCCTTTTTTTTTTCCCTTTTCCCCCTTTTTTTGCGAGCCATATGCCACGTCAGGCTTCCTCCGTTGCTTCCCTTTTCTGCCTCCTGAGCTATGTGCAAAGCGGGTTGCTTTTTAATGACCGAAAAGCCACTCCCACGGAAGCAGCGCTTATAAACGTGGCAGGTGGCTGAAAACAGGTATACGTGCTAATTCCTAG